GGATTCAGATTTAAATATTGGGAACTGGGCTAGAGGTCAGTCATGGGACATTTTGGCAAGTGATGCCTTCTGTCCTTTTCCTGAGACCTTGCCCAAGGCTGGCTGCCCTAAATAAAAGCAATGGACTGATTTCTTTGGCAGAGCGAGTATAATGCTGAGTCTGTGGGTTGGTTGTGACTGATAACTATTAGGCAGATCTAAAATGAAAAAGAGAACGTGGGACATAAAGAAATACAAAAGGTACGGTTTGGAGAGAAGAAGAGCACTAGGGAGCTTCTGTTGCAGCCAATGCGCAGGCCGAAAGAGAGGATGTGATGTTAAGGAGAGAGGAGCCACTAGGGAGTGACATCCTGACATCCTGATTTCCGAGGCTGCACGACAACAATGGGAATGGTGTGCAGAGGGCAAAACACCTCCTGGGTAAGCTTCCAGCTCGTGAAAGAGGAAAGCCTGAAGGGTTCCCTGTTCCTAGAAAAAATTAAAAATAAAATAGCACTACACACAAAGGTCATGGCTGACGTGGCTCACAGCGGGGAGTGTCCATCCTGAACTGGCCAACAAGCTTGGCGGTGCAATCAACAGAGCAGTGGTTTGGGAAGCCTGAGAGCTGCAAGGGTGAGGAGATCATAGATTCTTCCTCCACACTTCAGAGAGCTGCTGAGGACGGGCATGGCATAGCAGAGAAATCCTGAAAACCAGGTGAACATGAAGGCCTGGTTCAGTGGAGACCCCAACATGTTGACATTCCCAATACCTCATGAAGCTCAGATCTTCTCTGCAGTAAACAGAGTTGACTAAGGGACCATAAAAAATAATAGCTTTAAAATAAAATTCTGAATCAATCATAAGTCTCAATTTGGATCTTTTCAAATCTACTTTAGGTTTGATTCAACGATGCATTCAAACTTTTAACCACAGGAATAGTTACATTAATAATTCTCAGCAGTAGCTTTTATCATCAGGTAGGAACATTATAGTGTATTGTCCAAAATATTTTTATATTTCCCATCAAAATATGCTACTGTGCTTTGATGACCACCATTCAACTTCAGTGTGTTATAGGGCAAGTGGCATTATATTTGTAATTTCCTTATTAACCTACAGCACAGAACAGCACAATGTTTAATGGGGCAAAGTAAGATATTTCAAGAGGATCCAGACATTGAAAAGAAGGCAGAGAAGATGGAGAGGGAAGACGTCGCCACTGTCTGACAGACAGCAGGGCAGAGTAGAGAAGCTGGGCAGACAGGGGTGGTTAACGGCCCCTGAGTCCAGGAGCCCTTGGCAGCTAAGACCTTTCTGATACCCTGAAAGGCAGGAGTGCCCAAAGCAAACTTTAAAGGTGCATTCCTGTCAGAACAGCATTATGCCTTTATCCACAGATTCCCCTAGCATCACAGCACGTTGCCTATGCTAGAGGCTCAGTCTGCCAAGGGAGTCAGTCCGCTGTGCCCAAGTCAGTGACCACTAAGGAACTCATGAAACAGTTCCCAGTACCACTGACCTTTCATTACTGTTCTCGGGAAGTTGTGGGCCAGACCATCAGCAGAGTGAAAAATCAATGCTTTCCCAGAACGAGACCGAGCTGAGGTATTAATGTATGCTGCCTCTGGTCTATAGCCAAAGAGTTTTCTCTTTCCCGGAAAATGCCGAAGCCCCCTTGATCCTGGTGCACCATGGCTCTATGTGAAGGAAAAGAAACTCAGAAACTCAAAAGTAGCGGCTGATCACCAGTGCAGGCACTAGCTGGGCTGAAGAAAGAGCTCAGGGTCCAACAGTGAGCTCAGGTGCAATCATTCTAACTGACAGCCACCAGGAGGGAAGCGCCCTCTTCTGGGTGGGACTCTAGCAGCGGTGCCTCCTGAGGATGGAGACAGCAAGCCAGGACTATGGGGCGTTTGACTGGCGCAGTCTCCCACACACAGAACAGACACCGCTGATGGAGAGGGTCAGTTTCAGCTTTCTGGTGTTCCTATGTAAAAGCAAAGGGTCTTCAGGAGAAAACTGACTTTGGACTTTGAATCTTGCTCTTTTTTTTAGGAGCCCTTGTTACATTGCTGGGCATCAGTAGAATCCACAGTTCCTAGTCAACCTCAAGCTCCAGACAAAGACATGAAATGTCCACTGTCCCATTGGGCACCGACATGCTGTAGGCTTGGAAGATTCTATGGATTATAATTACATTGTGTTCAACTTCTGATGAGTTGATAAAGATGCCACAATACTAAAAACTGGGGAGCGTCTGATCCTATTTACCAAGAGATACAGTGTATCATTCAGGTTTGAGATGTTGACTTAGCTCTGGCTTGCTATCTTCCTACTGCCATTCAGCAAAAGTAGCAATCAGAGAGAGAAGGGCTGAGGACAGGGTGAGGCTGACACCACCTTATTTTTATGGAGAAAAATTTACGTTTTTCTCTATGAAAGGCTGGAATATACGTCACAGGGTAGCACAGGATGGAAATGTGTCTATGTGAACTTTAAACATTAATCAGCATCTTTAATTATTAACGTGATTTTTGTTCAAAAGCTCCTTAAACTCTGTGAAGACGTACTGTTTTGCATTAGAGAATGCATAGGCTAGCCAACTTCTAAGAAGCCAGAAGCCAACTGTGCAGTCATTATATACATAGGATAGGCTGCTCAGTCTGGACTTACGGGGGCTTGTGGAGGTCCTCAGCAATGTGAAGAATTATTATAGAAATAGGAGAAACTCCATGAAGATCGAGAAGCATGAGACAATCGTTCCTGGGGGAAAAAGGCTGCAAGGGAAGCTGCTTCCTGACTTCAGGAAACTGATGGAAAGTTAACCAAACGGTGATGGTTAGATTGCTGTGCAAGGCTATCATGAAAGGTCTCCTGACTTATTACTGCAGCAGTACTTACTTTGTAGGCCAAGTGTGACGCAAAGCTACAATTTTAGAAAACAGTTTCCTCTTTGTTCGGTTGGTTTTCTATTTTGTACTCTTCCCTTTTGTTTGGCATGGAATTTGACACCTTGAAATGAAATTCCTAAACTTGTGTGCATGTTACGTAAGCTATTCCCCAAAGTTACAGTCCTTTGATTTTACCAAAGGCAAATTGATAGAGTTTACTTCCGTCAAAAAAAATAAAGAAAAAAAGAAAGAATGCAGGGCCAGCAAAACAACTCATGGGGAAAGACGTTAGGCAGCAAGCCTGAAACCTGAGTTTAGTTCTGGATAACCACGGGGTGGAAGGAGAGAGGCAATTCCTCCAGGTAGCCTACCCTCCTTGAATGAATACACACCCAAAATAAGTACATGCAAAATAAAAAAAAGAGGGACCATGAGGAAAATATTTTTAAATGAAAAATAAAAAAATAAAACAAGGAAGAGAACCCAAAAAGCATGCTTTGTTTTAAAAAGGCAAAATGTCAGTGATTTTCTTTGCTATTCCTACCCAGTTTGCCTGCTTTACGGACACATATCTGTATGCACACACAGACATGAACTCAGGTCCCTACACTCACATCCACACGTGTGGACAAATAGGGCATACACACACACAGCCGGCCAACTTTGGTGAGGGAATGGTCGTGTCAGGGTAGGTGCTCTTCCGGCGAGAGCAACGCACTATCATGACTTCTTATGCTGGAACCAAATGTCTCACTGTGGGGTAAAAGTATAAACTGCTCGACCTGGCCACAGAACATCAGACTGGACTCCGGTGAGACACCATCACAGTTCCATTCACATGCACTAATATTCCCTTCTACTTAGAAAGGTCTGATTTGGCAGAAATCCCTACTTTGGCTACAATATTGTGGTTGGTTAAAGAAGACATTCAATATTTTCTAGTTAAGACTAAGCTAAACAATCTCCTCTATTCAATCCAGAGACTCTACCCACCACAGGAGGTAGATTTTAGCACATTCGGGTTGGTGTTTTACTTTTAAAACTACTGGAGTCTTCTGAAAAAGTCCTGCACTCACAGCAAGTTGAGATAGGACTTCCTCCAAGAGACCCTCATAATGTTTCATTCAAAACTGTCGGCCACTTCCCAGAAGGCCTCAAGGCCACTTTTAACCCATAACATCACGGAAGTCAGACAGGTGCATCCACACATCCGTACCAAACAACAGCAGCCCAGCAGCAAAATCAGCACAAAATCCATGCAGAAACAGGACTTGAGAATGTTGTTCAGCAAATTGATAACATACAATTATAAAACAGCAGGGTGGAGCATCATAGGAAGATTGGGTCATTTCCTAGCAGGGAAGTCCTGGGCCACCTCTGTGCAACTCAGGGGGTAGCCTGGCTTTCAGGTAGCTGACTCCATCGTAAGCCCTGGAGAAATCTCTGCCTCCTGTGTCGGGCTCTCGGCATTGCCTCCATAGAGTACAGCTGAGACTATACCTTAAATCTGCACAATAGATGCCTTCTAATTAAGCAGTGCAGCTCGCTTTGGGAAAACAACTATTTAAGCCTTTCAAGTGTCAGGGGAATATTAATTACAGGTCTCTGTGCTTTCTGATATGGGAATCTGTGTTCTCAGAGATGGCAACCCAATTATACACAAACTATCCAAGAAGGCTGCTTTGTAACTTTTGGTGACTCTTATAAGAACAGTAATACACCAAATATTCCAGGGATGAGGGTTTCCTTTCTGCAAAGCTTAGAATGTCTCGTGGATATTTATCAGCTAATCTAAGGAGAATCTCACTGCCAGCGTACCCCACAACTTCAAAATGGTCCCTGCAGAGCAGACAGACCTGAGCCCTTGCTTTGGCCCTGCAGAGCAGAGAGACCTGGGCCCTGCAGAACAGACCTGAGCCCTGCAGAGCGGACAGACCTGAGCCCATACAGAGGCCCTGCAGAGCAGACAGACCTGAGCCCGTACAGAGGCCCTGCAGAGCGGACAGACCTGAGCCCTTGCTTTGGCCCTGCAGAGCAGAGAGACCTGGGCCCTGCAGAACAGACCTGAGCCCTGCAGAGCAGACAGATCTGAGCCCGTACAGCGGCCCTGCAGAGCGGACAGACCTGAGCCCGTACAGCACTGTCCCATCAGGGTGGAGGCGGATCATGCGGTTTTTCACTGTCACTCCGTGCACAAATGACTTTTTGTCATTTAAGAAATATGTGTCGGGCACCCAGAGCTGGTCAGCCACTCGATTGTCAAGCGTGAGGTTGAGAGGGATCCCAGAATAGGCGAGCCTTTTATCTCTCCAATATTGTTGAAAATACATAGTTAAGGTATAGTCCTGGGAGGAAGAGAAAGAAAAGAAAGAAAATTAGTTTGTGCTCAACACAGGTGTAACTCCTGCATGCAACGACAAGTCCAGGCTGAATCCCACTTCCTGGAAACGGGCAGAGCACCAGACACTTCCTTGGGAATGCAAACACTGAGTTCAGGAAGCACAATGTAAGAAGAGTATGGCATACATAGGAAATTTTACTTTACTTCGTTAAGGGCACCAGACGGGTGGCGTTCTGAGACAACCATACAGAAAGAAAAGGTAAGAAAGCATTACTGTAAAATCAGATGGTTGGCAAGGAACTTGGTTGACTCCCTAGGTCCACGTTTCCCACCAACCAGATAGCAGTTTAACCAAGCTGTGTGGGTGGACTCTATCTCTAAAGCCATCTCTGCAGTTGAAGCTGCTTTCTTCTGCCCTTGCAAAGACCATAAACATGCATGCCTTCCAGCGACATCCCCTGGAGCTAAAGTGGCCTGTGGGAGAGCTCGGTGCCTGACTTCCACATGTTCTTTTCCTCTTAGCTCACCCTTGCTAGACATTAACTGGGCCACAGTCTCACCTGGAGATAACATGATGGCATGGGAACTAGGGAAGCCTAAGTCACAGCAGAACTTGGAAGGAGACCACCGCACTGCCTCGGGCAACCAATGAAATCAGCCAGCACCCACCCAGGGAACTATAAAGCCATTTTTGCTTTTGGTTGTTTTTGATGGCAAAACAGTTAATTCAGTTGGCAGAGACGAAGGCACCCCAAATGCCCCCACAGAAAAACAAGAACATACACACTGCATAAATACACATAGGTGTAGACATCAGAAAATATGGCGAGAGTCACAGGACGTTCTGGACCCTGAAAACCTGGAGGCATGTAGGTACATCCCACATGCTCCTTGGTCAGGTCTGTAAACACACTCATCTTGTGGGCAGTGAAAGGTGAGAAGCAAACCAGTTTTAGAGCCTATCCTGGACCACCGGGGATAACATAAGCCTACTACCTCACACGGCAGCTCTCCGAGGGGTATAGTCTGTTTCATGTGAACACATAAATGATATGCGTTATGCTTAAAGATGATAAAGTTCAGATATCAACCTGTCCTGCCCAGATGTGCCAGCAAGTGGTTTCAAGAAAACTCACACATACTAACCAACCCTAAGCAAAATACAAATTCTGGAATGAAGGTACAGCGCAGGGTCAGAAAGCAGGCCTGGATGTGTAACACTCCAGAGAAACAAATGGTCCTTGGCCGGAAAAGCAGAGGGCAGAGGAAAAAGGGCAAGCCTATGTGTGCCAGAGTCCTGGATTTTATCTGGATTCTAATGAAGAGGGAATACATGAGAAGCAGGAAATTTTTCCAAGAACATCCAGGGGTAGATCTCTGAGCCTAGGACTTCCTAGATGGATGCTCACTCCCGTCCCCATCACAAATCAGAGATTTTCATGAAGAAGATGTCCCTAAACCTAGGCCCTGGGAAGCTGGCTGAGCAGGCAGGGAGCGTGGCAAAACTGGGAGCTGTCAGTTTCCAGCCCTTACATATTTGTAAGTATATGAGGAGGGCAGCGGAACGGGACCCCACACAAGTGGCTGAGGAGCAGGGACCCGGATGCAAGCATCACACAGCGAAAGCCAGCCTAGTCTCATGTGCCCGGGGGCTACCAAGTTCATGAAACCATGGATCTTAGCTTCTGCATGTTTGGACATCTGGGGCCCCGCTGAGCTGGGGGAGCTGATCTCCCAGGGTTATTCAGTAATTACACAAAGTGGACAACATCCAGGGCTAGCGTGAGAGTTAGGACATCTTTTATATCCAAGCCAATGGATCCAGAGCCCATCCCTTGCTCTTCCTCTATGGAGCTTGTTTACAGCAGCTAACAATTCACAATGGCTACTGACCTAGCTCTAGGTGCCAGATGACTGCGAAGAGCCTCTACCATTAGGAGCCTTGCAATTAAACAATTCTAGGATGTTTGCCTTTATCTGTCCTTTTTATGAAACATTAAAGGGCTCTGCTTAGAGGTGACCTTTGTTCTCCACCATTGGACTTCCATTGGTGTTCTTATGTGGCCCCCATGGTAGGGTGTGTCCCTCCTTTGGTTACTCTTTCACTAGCAGCCATCTGCCAATAGGTCGCCTTTCCTATACCTGAGCATCTTGTGATGGAAAACACTGTCAACCTGACAGGATCTAGACCACCGGGGGGGGGGGAACTCTGGGTATTACGTAGGGGAGCTTCCAGATTGGATAGCCGGAAGTGGAACAACCTACTCTAAATGTGGGTAGCACCGTTCCACGGGTTGGGTGGGATTCTGAGCTGAATGGAAATGCAAAGCTGAGCTGAGAAGAGCCATTCATCTCTACGCTTCCTAATTGCGAGTATGACAACCCTTGCCATCAAACTTTGGCTGTCATTCAGTACTGTATGCTCCAATGTGAACCCAAATAAGCCCTTTCTTCCTGAAGAGGGTTTCTGTCAGGCATGTCGATATAGGAAAAAAAAATACCTCTCTATCATATAAAATGAGGATTGAGAAGTGGGGCCACCTGTTAAGTTGGGGTCAGACCCACCCTCATTAGCCTCTGGGGAGGACAGAACAAACTCCTAGGGTTACCTTTTTAAAAGACACAAATTTCGGAAGAGGTTGGAGAGGATAAGGGAAGTGTATGGATAAGTCAAAATACATTGTATGCAGGTATGAAATGCTCAATGAATTAATAAAAAAATACATCTAAACCCATGAAAAATAGAAGTGGGGCCATTGCTCATATGAGTCTGATCATGTGGACTGTAGGTCTTTGGATCCCGTCTATGGGAAGCATGTGGGAGTTTGGAACACTGAGCTACAAAACCATTAGGACACTATAAACAGAGCTGATCAGACTGTCCTGGTGGGAATTCTGAGAGAGCAGAGGGTGAGCCCATGCAGATTCACAGGGGAATACAGACTCTATTGAGAACTGGGCTGGGGGCCATTCAGGTTATACTCACACTCCGGCTTGAGGGAAGTTGAACTCAAAAGTCAATGGCTTGGCAGAGGGACTTTCAATACAGGCTAGTGTTCACTATTCTTTTCCAGGTAGGCAATGACAAACAGCAACAAGTAGAGGGAATGAGAAGATGTGCCCATTGTCAGGAAAGGAGGTTAAAGTTTCCAACAGGAAGAATGCAGTTGTTGAGAAGAATGGGCCCCAGTCAGAACCAGCCACCCTCTCAGTACTGGGGTAGCTGGGAAGGTACTCTTGAAAGCAGAACCCCACCCACTGAAGAAAACCTCTTGCGGAACCCCAAATTTATCAAGTGAGACTAACCTGAGCAAGCTGGTGAAGGGCTACCCTGATCAAACGCAGCCACCTGTGGTAATATGCCCCAAGGTCAGCAAGTAGTCTATATGCTACTTGTTATACATACACGAAAAACGGAAGGATGAAAGCCAGACATGGTGGTGCTCACATAATCTCAGCACTGGAGATGCAGAGGCAGTCAACAAGAGTTTAAGGCTAGTCTGGTTTACATAAAGGGTGCAATGCCAGCGAAATAGGAAGGAGTACATAATGAGATCCTAATTAAAAAACACCGAAACAAAAGAAGGAACGGAGGCTTAAGCCAAAGTCTCAGATGGCTACTGAAGTCACATCCATAGATGAAGGCCTCAGGGTCCATGGCATGAAGGAAAAGCCCAAGTTTTGATGGAAGTGATAGGATGGTGGTAATGTCAGGACCCCGGGATGGCAGCAGAGGAGGGTTGCATGTCAGGACCCCGGGATGGCAGCAGAGGAGGGTTGCATGTCAGGACCCCGGGATGGCAGCAGAGGAGGGTTGCATGTCAGGACCCTGGGATGGCAGCAGAGGAGGGTTGCATGTCAGGACCCCGGGATGGCAGCAGAGGAGGGTTGCATGTCAGGACCCCGGGATGGCAGCAGAGGAGGGTTGCATGTCAGGACCCCGGGATGGCACCAGAGGAGTGTTGCATGTGAGGAGTAGAGCTGACCTGGGGAAGAGGTCACAAGTGCCACAGGATTACAGAGCTGGAGGGTGAGGCAATGCAAACCTGTTGGACCTCAGATGGCTCCATCAGGAGCTTCAGATACCTAACACTGAGCTGTGGGATTTCCCATTTGCCCTGCTTAATCTGGGTCCTGCTTTGGTCTGATATGTCTTTGCTATGTTCCCATCTCCACGTTTCAGAAAGGGAACATTTATTCTGTGCCCTCGACTGTTAGAAGCATGAAACTTGTTTTTTTTTTTTTTTTTGGATTTTTCGAGACAGGGTTTCTCTGTAGCTTTTGTTTCCTGTCCTGGAACTAGCTCTTGTAGACCAGTCTGGCCTCGAACTCACAGAGATCCGCCTGCCTCTGCCTCCCTAGTGCTGGGATTAAAGGCGTGCGCCACCAATGCCCAGCTTTGAAACTTGTTTTTATGGTACAGGAAATGCAGTACTGAGACACTGCCCAGGTGCAGAGGGGGCTCTGCTCATCTGTTCTCGAAGGGGTTAGACCTCTTAAAGGCTAGAGGGACTTTTAAGGCGGATAAAATGCATTTTGACTATGAGATGTTTGACAAGGGGTCGGAAACTGTGACTTGAAAATGATCTACTTGAGTTTCCATTTGACATGGTGCAGAGTTGTGATGTTAATAATGCCAACTTGGCAGGATCTCTACTACCTAGGAGACAAGCCCGTGGGCATGTCTGGGCCAGAGCTTCTAGATTAGGGTGAGAGGAAAGGCACATCCTATATGTGGATGGCACCCTTCTCTAGGCTGGTCATACATGGAAGAAGAAAGCGAGCCACATGCAAGAACTCATCTCCCTCTTTGTTTCAGCAATAGACACAAGGTGACCATTACCTCAAGATCCTCTGCCATCATCAAATGTGCCCTCAAACCGTCACCCAGAATACGCCCTTCCTTCTCTGCTTTACTTTTATCAGGCATTCTGTCATGGCCACAAGGAAAATAACTAAGGCACATGTGACTCATATTCTAAAGCACAGCATGTAACTGAGAGA